TCTTCGCAGAGTGCTCCACCACCCAGTGGCTCAGTACCTGCACTGTCTTCATCACCGAGCACGCAAGGTAATTCAGTAATGCCACGTGTTGTGAATTCCCGACCAAAGCCGCAGTGTTGGGAACACGGGTGCAATGGACGGCAGTTCTCTACGTTCAGTAACCTTCTGCGACATCAACGGGAGAAATCAGGAACTGCGTCGAAAAGTTCCTGCCCCAGATGTGGAGCTGAGTTCACACGTACTACTGCAAGGAATGGACATATGGCGCATGATAAATGCAAGCCAAGAAGAGCATCAGAAGCAAGCGGATAGATGAAGTCGCATCTCACTGTTTGATCTACCTAGAACTATCCGTGTCGCGAGGGGCAGAAGTAGAGTATCGCTCCGTCTGAGCGAACACGCCGAGTGCAAAATGGCACAGTATGGTCCTAGGCACCGAGCCCTGGCCCACGACGAAGATATGGACGCACCGAAGCGGAGGCACGCCGGTAGGCGACTGTACCAGCCGGGGGCCACCCAAGGGCCCAGAATCTTCGATTCAGTCGCTACAGGGCGCGTATGGACTGCGCGAAAACCATACTTACAAGTCGCTGCACACATGTTGTGCTTTTGCACTTTTCAGTCTACACCAAGACATTTTGGTACGGTGCGTGCGCCACGGCCGTTCACTAAAGCATTCGGCCACCGGAAGTTCCTTTCAGCATTTTGATTATAACCAAGCGCTTATTTATTGTCATGATACATATGCATACATAGATTTCGGGTACACCTGTCTCAGAAGTAGGGAAAGCTACTGCAACAAGCGGTCTTTACATCCTGTTTCCCATCAATCTCAAGATCATCAACCGTCAAAAGATACTCGCACGTTCAACGAGCCATATCAATCTATTCGCCATGACCCGTCGTACAAGAAAGACTGAATTACGGAGGAGGGCGTCGGGCGTCAGCCCGTCGAGGGATTGCGGGAGGATTTGGAGGAGCGTGCAAAGCAGGAACATGGAGTTCCTGCTGCTTGGGGGTGCCCTGGTAGCTCTTCCCTGCGATGTATCCGACTACATGGTTCACACAGAATCATCGGTCAGTACCTTACTCCATATCAGGGTCCACAGACAAACAGAGAATCAGGCCGACGTTGTCCCGCACGGCATGGTTCGGCACTGCCGCGCGAAATCTTAATGCGAAAATTCATAGCTTAAGCTAAAGGGGGAATTTTACCGACCAACCTCCACGATTCAGCAAGAAACACCAGATCGCAAGGCAATTCCGATATTTTCTAGCACTGCAATCTTAATCTTGACTTGCAACAACTGATCTCATTGCAAGCCCCATATTCATGACAAGTCTCGTACCCGGGTTGCAATTCGCCATATCCTTCACGCCATGCGCACCAATTATCATGAGCCGGTTTCATATTGCATTAGCCGTAAACAGGCGAGCAAGGCTGCCGACAAGCTCGCACGGCTTTTTGCGAATTTGAGTAACGATCAAACTAGCGGGCCGTTGTCGCCACGACTTGGGGCGGGTAAGCCTTGTAAAGAGCACCCACCGCTGTGGAGAAAGACCAACCACGAACCGAAGATACCGAGAGGCGCCACTGGCGCGCAGCATTGTCTGACAGATTGTCCAGTTTAAGGTCAACAACCGTGGTCCGGGCTGCTGTACTCAGGTGAACCATGTCACCGGTATAGCGGCGGCTACGGTAGCAGTGTTGATTCGCTGCTCTCTTGCACCTTGACATCACCGGGCAGCGGAACAATAAACCGCCATGTGTGTGGTCCCTTGTCTCGGAAACCGACAGCCGCATGTTGGCGTGACTTTCAACACCGAGATGCAGAAGTACATATGCATATGTGGGATGCTCCGGTGACGTGGATATTTCCGGTCTTGATATGCAATGTGCAATCAAACACACGTTCGGTGGCTTACTGGTTGCGGCAGGCAGCTCTAGTCGACGTGCATTAAAGTGCGTGATTGAAGCTTCGGCATGCATGTTGCCAAGACAGTCACTGCAGCTCAGAAACGCGACTAACGCCATATTACTGATCAAGAAAATAGGTATGAATATCATTATTCATGTTCCGCCCTGGTCTTGCTCCGCAAGACCCGCACTGACACGCATATTGCGATACGCACCCGACTCTAGGACGGACATGTAACCAAAATCCGGTTCATCGCAGTCGCTTAATCGTGTGCTGTGCAGGCGCGGCAGGTTTAGCGTATGCTCGGAACCATACCACTGGAACTACCCCTAGGTAATTGGCTCCTGACCGCTTCGCGCAAAAGATTGTGCCTAAGCACGGGATTTCGGTCGATTTCAAGCACCGGGCAGTAATGACGCGAAAGGGTCTTCGATGTTCCAACCTGTTTCGCCCCCACAGCAGAGTGCGAACCTGACATGCTTTGCTGACCAGTGGATCGAGTCGAGCTGGGAGAATCGCAAGGATTATCCGGCGGGGCGCGGCTGCGCGGGAAGGATGACAGTCACTTGATCCCTCAGTAGACTTAACAAGGATGGGACATGGGGAGCACTGAGTTCTTGACGTTCGGTAGCACGTGAAAAGCATTGCGTTCGGCTCCGATCTCAGCTTCCTACAAGCGAGTAGCTGACGAAGTAACGCAGTGGCGGATCCGGAACTCAGGAACCGGAATGAACTCGAAGTAAGGCCGCGGCGTGTACCACTTCACTCCACCATCTGTGGTACCCAGGGTGGGCACGATCGAGTTATCGGTCCGCTCACCAATTTGCATACGGAGTTTCAATGATGCAAAACTGCCTTCAGGGCTTTAATGGCCGGAGTGCTTGCCGACCTAGGATATCATTGCCGGTGGCACAGCAAACAGGCGCAATCCCCCCTTGCCCACTTTGCCTATCTCAAAATACTTGAATCGTATGTTTTCCTCAGGCGACCGTAAACCCGCCCCACACCACAGCAAAACCACCTTCTAGATCGCCTACATGAATCGAGAAAAAGTCCAGCAGAATAGAGCCAAGAAATGATAGACATCTCGCTAAGTACACATCATGCGATCTTGACGAAATTGTGGTAATGTGTGCATACAGAGATCTTCCGCAGAGTCTACGCATGCTCTGAGTGCTTCAGCGATGTGGTCGAGACGCGCAAGAAAATCGGCAACGTCTCCAAATCCGAGATGGGTCCGCGTGTCTAGAGCACCGCGCCGCAAGTGACAGATACTAGTGTGGCTGCCCAGTACAAGCAATCTGTCATCGGTCGACTGTGATAAGACATAGCACACACAGAAAGAAGGGTTGCGAGAATACAACTCACGACGATACTCTAACACCAACAGCAAACTTCCTGGTCGTGAGCTGTTGCGGGAATTACAACCGGGTTTTCGAAGTATGTAGTTGCGCATACGCAAGGCTGCATGGCCAAGGTTGCACAAGGACTCCAGGGCCATGGAAGCCTCATAGCGCTCGCGTGTTGCTGACGCCCGCCCGCTACTGCGGGATACGTCTGCAGTGTCACCAGTCACCTTCGAGAAAGCCGGTTAAAGGCAGCGCCGCCTCCCAGACGGGATGACGCTCCAAATGAGGCGGCGGCATACGCGTGGACATAGATTAATCGCACATGGCGGCCAATAGCCGCTGCAGGGGGGAGAGGATTAAGCCATTCTATAGTGGTGAGCTCCAAGCCCGTAAGACGGGCATAACATGATTCCGCATACACATAGGGTATGCTTGACGTAGCTTTTCAGCCTCAACCGCCGTAGAGGGTCCAAGTCGTCCGGACGTCAATACCCGGCACGCTTCTGCGACGTAGGGTATGTATCGATGTGTCTCATGCGCTCACGGGCACGAGTTGGAGTGAGCATCTGGCTGTCTGAGTAGCTACACAGGCGTGCACAGTCATGCAACGCCCTTCTGAGGCCAACATGTGGCGCACGTGTTGGTCGCGGCCAAGGATGCCGTTAGGCAGCCCTACTGACTGTTGGGCGACTTTCCATGACTGCACCTCACTGTCGCTCTCAGGCTATGGATGCCTAAAGGACGCGCTCAGCTCGATCACGATCATGATTGTCATGCCCGATCTTCTTACGAGACTAGGGCGTATATTGAGAGTCAGACATAGTGTCAAGCATCTAGCAATTGGGGGAGACGAACGGGTAGGTACGATGTTCGAATGACCAGATACGCAGCAGCGACACGTTCCAATACTGTCTGTGGTCTGCGAGTCAGAGGATGTTACCAGTATGCTCTGCATCACAATTGCTCTGTACTACGTTTCCTGTCCCCTCCTGCATCTGCTGCACTACTCCTTCAGTGTGGTAGAACATGAACAGTATAGCAAGAGACGGTTTCGCTGTCCTTGACGTTATACCATGTGTCGGACACAATTCACCAGCAAACGCATCAACATGCACCAGACAAGCATGATGAAGTAGAAGGACACTGATTGCGAATCAATGCAACCTCTGTAGCGACATAGTTTGACCGAGTCCAAGCTAAAAGGGCGACAAAAGGGCGTTAAGCCTTGTGGTGATCCATGTGAGGCTGAGAGCGATGGATGATGGCCCGCCCCGCACGACGGTGACTCCCCGCAGTAGGTAGCATGAGCAAGCTAGGACCAACGACTAACCTTGGACATGGCGACCTCGATACTCCCAGCAACCGTCAACCATCTCATGCCATTGCACCTTTACCATCATCAACAGCGTCGTCATCTTTAACTTGTCCACTCTAATGTCTCTCTCTAATCTGTGAACGCCAGCGTGGCACCTTCACGCAACTCGCCGACGAGTTGTTTCTAGTCGCTGCTTGACGAAGTCCCACTCAACGTTTGTGCTCTACACCCGTCACCATGCTTCCATTATTATCGCAATTATTCCGGACGCACCTCTTACACACCAACTCACGATCATTATCACGCTTACGCACTAATCCAGCGCAACAACGCGCAACGTGACAAGTCTGGTACTTTGCCCATCACCCTGTTCGATAAGGAATACAACCACAAAGGGGCCCGTCCATATTACGCGATATGGCTTCTATATTCACCTTCGATCCTGACCCTCCGCGGGTCTCATCGCCATGGGAAACTACTTCCGCCGGCGACGTCGCGCAAACGCCCATCCCATCCACGAATTCTCGACGACTTCCTTCGCCGCTAGGTAGTACCGGGGGCGAAGTGGGATTAGACACAACAAAGCCCACTGCTGCTATAGACTATACAGCTATCACGAGGCTGGAGGCTGAGCCACAGGACGGGCCTACTGAGTACAAGCTGCATCTGCTGCTCAGGCGGCGGCGGTCTTTTACCCGCACGAGCACTGGACGCCATATATCCGGGTCCATGCGTCGACCTGACATACCCATTCCTGTAGTGGGTCGCAGCGCATCTGAGTCAGGCCTTCTTTCGAACACCCCTCCTCCGTTGGCCGCGACACAGTCAAAACAGCATCGTCTCGAGCAGTTGACCACTCAACTGCTGTGGCGACTACAACAATCATGCCCGAACCACATGTCCTCGTCTATGGCACCCGTCGTTCCTCATTTTCCCGAGGATGCACGGTTGTCAGCCCCCGAGATGCCACAACGGCTTCTACCTGGACTGGAGGAGAGCAGTGGTGCGCTTTACGAAATTGGAGTTGCTGACGACGGAACCATCGTCGGTCTAGCAGAAGATGAGATGGAAGAGAGCTTGAACAACTTGCGCGCTATGGCTGCAAGCCTAGGCTGTGGTGTTGAAGTTATGCGCAGAGTTCCTGTTGGTGATTGCGAGTGGGTCGAGGATTCTGGCACACCGCAACAAAGGGTGATAAGATCGCAACTACTAGTTGCTGAAGCATTAGTACGCCCAGAACAGCACTTGATCAATAAGTCGGAAAAAACGCAGCAAGATGCAAACAACGATGCGCTCAGAACCAGTGCTAGCGACATGGCACTGGGCAAGGAGCCCCAAAGGGTCACTGAGCAGATGCGCGTATCAGTGACTGGTGCCACTATGTCTGGTAAATCTACCCTACTCGGAACTTTATCTACTGCTACGCTGGACAATGGCCGAGGAAAGAGTCGCTTAAGTCTACTGAAACACAGGCACGAGATTGCATCGGGGATGACCAGTTCTGTCACCCAAGAGTTGATAGGATATCGCGACGAAGGAGATCATTCACAAGTGACCAGCTATGGCTCAGGGGATATTGATTCGTGGATCGACATTCATGCGGCGGTGGAGTCAGCGGAGAACGGCCGGTTGGTGTTTCTTTCTGACTCAGCTGGACACCCTCGGTTCAGGCGTACTACGGTCCGTGGAATTGTTGGCTGGTAAGTCATCACCACATATCACAGCTCCTTATCCCCTTGTATCTCTTTAATTTGGGAGGGTTTCACTCTTAGCTGCCGCTTCTCTGAAAACGTATGATGGAGTATCCTGATCCGTTCACTAGGCAACCACATTGGACACTTTTGTGTGTTCCAGCTGACAATACCGACGAGTCGTCGGGTAAGCTTGGAGCTTCACCTTCTTCTGAAGAGTTGCTTGGGCCAGCAGCAGCGGATTTGGATCTTTCGCACGCACATCTACAACTCTGCCTCGCCTTGCAATTGCCGCTTGTGATTGTCATCACCAAGTACGACTTAGCTACCAAGAACGGTTTGAAAAGCACCTTGCAAAAATTGCTCTCGGCGTTGAAGGAACACAAGCGGAGGCCTTTGCTCATCACTGACCCGTCGACATCTGTCTTGGAAGCCGATCTACACACCATCGAGGCAGCCGATCTTGGGGAAACTGAGAAGACTCTAGACTTGCTTGTAGACTCGCCACTCGCAGCAGTGCCAGTGATACTAACTAGCGCAGTCAAGGGAACTGGGATACAGAAATTGCATGCGTTTCTCCGGAGACTACCGATGCCCACGCAAGTAACCCCACCGGCAAGTACGCCCATATCCCCACTCTTCTATATTGAAGATGTTTATGGCGTCCGCCCAGATGGGATCGGTGATAGCTCCGCGATCATTGGAGGCTACCTCCGGTATGGATATTTGGCCGTTGGTGATGAGCTGCTGCTAGGACCATACCCTGTTGATGTCAGCTCGGACGATAGCGACAGCGGTAGTTCAAGACCAAGTCGCAAGCCTGCTATGCCACAGTCAAGATCGTTTCCCGGCGCACTCAGCGCGAAGCCAAAAAATGCTTCACTGCGCAACCGACACAGCGAGTGGCAACGTGTCCGCGTTACGTCTTTGCGCAATTTACGTCTACCCGTACGGAAGTTGCATGCCGGACAGGTTGGTACTATGGGTGTCGTACCTGTGAGTACGCCAAATGTCAACTCGTCTATCAATAGGGTACGCAAAGGCATGGTATTGGTAGCTCGCGAGCCCAAGGCGCACAAGATCATTAAAGTACGTTTCGAGGAGAAGCAAGCAGAGGGTGTCAAAGATCTCAGCGTCGGAAGTGCAGTTGTGGTCTACGTCGCCAGCGTCAGAGCTTCATCTAAGGTCTTGTCCGTCGCTACTGAACGGATGGAACTTAATCATTCGATGAACAAGACTCATAATGGCGCGGATGAGGACGACACTTTTGGATTCGGCTTCGATGATGAAGTAAGGGAGCCTACAACGGGAACTGTACCACCTGCCGTCGTAGTGACGTTTCAGTTCATCGCCTCGCGCGAATTCGTGGAGGTGGGTGCCAAGGTGTTGGTCATGCCTGGTGGTGGGCCTGGGCTTTATGGGGGTAATGAGAGGGGAGCAAAGGGCATGGCTGGTCTCGAAGGATTTGTTGGGAGAGTGCTGGGAGATGTTTAGTGTGCTGTCATCGCGATACATAGAAGGTATGCCGTCATGGACATCTTTTGATGAGCAAAGACATGTGGAGTATTAGAACGTTGGGAGTTTAGCATTGGCGTTCGATGAGGGCATAGAAGGAGTAATCACAGTAATGTTTGATCGTCTTGAACATTGTTGGCATCGTGTGCGAACGGAGAAAATCCAGCGCAGTGCTTAACCAAGAATGCCTCACTGTGCACATATCTCAAATGTCGCACATCCCCATACCACGCAGGCACGAATGCCGTATCGCATCCACAAAAGACACGTACGTCATGCACCCAAGCGTCTCCTTGCCACAAACGCATACCGTCCTCACCTGACGTCCTTGGACCGGCTAGGTAACGAGCAGCTTAGAGTAACAAGGTGGGAAATGTGCACGCGCCGTCCCCAGCTATCCAGACAGAAAACTATACATTATGGGAACCGTTCGCACGAGGGCTACTAGGGGTAACAGTTTTCGTCGGCGACTGTGGGTAGGCAGTGTTTGATATATCGCTAGGCTATACTGAGCAGCAGGAATGGGTCTGGTCGCTGAGCTCCACCTTAGGCCGCGAAAATTCGTAATACCCATTTCCTCTGGGTAGAAGGAAAGAGCATGACGGGGAAAAGAGAAGACAGGGACAAGGAAAGGAAACGGAGGGAGACGAGCGGGGAACTTATGATAGGGTTGAGAACTGCTTTCCGCGTCTTTAGCGGCCGATGAAGATGAGGATGGTAATCCAGGGATATCGTATACAAATGCTGGCTTTCCAAAATTCCTTACCAGAGCGTCTTTTTCAGAGGATGTAAGAATCTTATCGCTGACATGTCGCTTTTTCATTTGCAATCAAGCTGCGGAGGAAGCGAAAAGGACCTTGCGAGGTCCGCCCATGGTCAAGCTCTTGGGGACGGTTCCGCTAGTTCCGCTGCCCTCCATACTCTCGAGCATCCTGTCCATGCCGCCGAGATCAAGCTCGCCATGGGTAAGAAGAGCCTGGTCTGTTCTGTTCGATGCGTCATCCTCGACCTGCTCGCGTGCAAATATGGCGCTCAAATCGCGCCCAAGAGGCTGGCTAGTACTCGCGGTGATGATGAGACGGTGCTCGGCTGATACAAGAGTGTCCCTGGCGATAGCCATACGTGATGCTTGAGGTGTCGTGTCGAACTGTGAGACTGATGTGATGGCTTCCCCACAGAGTGCAATATCCTGGACTTGGAGACCAGGACCTGGTAAGGAAGCACCGCTGCTGGCAGAAGCAGTACGACTCCAGAACTTGATCAGATCGGCTATCCTGTAGATCTCAGATCCATACCAGATCAGGACCGAGTCTTCTGACGTTCCGTTAGTCGACGTGATACTCGCAACAGAGATGCCGCCTCTAGTTGCTGCTGTCAGGCTTGGTGCGCTGCCCTGGAAGAGTGTCTCCTCTTTCCGCTTACGCGTATTCGGCGTCATTGGAGCTAACGAATTGCGGCTTCCACGCTTCGGGCTTGATGCGCCGCCAGAACTTGCCTCTTTCTCCGCTGTACCAACATATCCTCGAAGAGAGAAAGCCGATGGATCTGCTGGGGGGCTTGGACCAGACCGATCAACATCCCAGACGCCCCATTCGCCGTCCACGAGTAAGGCAATTATATGACGGCCACTGGAGGCCCAAGCCGCATCAATGATGGCTTTGCGCGACGCAAGAACAGCAGGGGTAAGCGCAATGTTCTTGACGCCCTCGAAAGATGACCTGAATGTTCCCACAAATGCGCCAGGCTCATTACGACGGCCGCCTGATCGTTGGCTACGAGTGGGTAACGCAAAAGGATCGTAGATGCGCGCAGTTCCCTTCGAGTCTGCGATGAGTAGTTGGGAATGGCGACGATTTGGATACTGAGCAGTGTTGAAGGCAATGCGAGAGGCAGGCTTGTTCAGAGTGAGCGTCTTGTAAGGCACGACCGGATGCGAGACCTTCGGTGACGTCTCAGATAGCTCAAAGCGAAAGAGTTTGACCAGGCCTCCCAGCTCAGCGGAGTGCGAGGCTACGAGTAAGTCGAAGCCTTGACCGGCACGCGGTTGGTGTTTGTGCTCAGAAGTCGTTGTGTCTTCTTCCTCCTCATCCACGTCCATGCCGTCTTCTGCCTCGTCTATAGAGTCTGCCTCTCCTCTTGCAGTCCAAGTCATAGTGACACCCCTCGGGATGCTTTGATGGCCATGAAGCTTGACAACGTCTTCGCCGAACTGTGACTTCGCGGTGTATGGCTTGTCTTTTGCGACGTGTGGAGGAGGGCTCAGAGGCAATGTAATGACGCGCACTGTAGAGTCGGCGCATGCGACGGTGAAGATGATGTGAGTGCTGAATATGCGAGGTGTTGTGTCTGCGGATCGGAGGGTAGAGGCGGTCGGTATTTGGGGTACGGCGATGTGTAGCACTTGGGTGCTGAGAGACAGAGAAAGTTGCTGGACGACTGAGGCGTACGGCTGGTCTGGATCAAGCTCTTCCTCTTCATGCTCAAATTCGGCCTTGGGTGGCGGCTCTGAAACAGCTTTGGTAGGCTCGTCGTCGGAGTCGATGATCATAATGGCATCGTTGCTTGTTCCGTTGACCTTTGGTGGCTTCGCTGGCTGCTGGGGAAGGGGCGAGGACTTTTTCAATGGGCGTCCTCCTCTCCAGAGGATGCCAATACCTGTCTCGTGGCCGTATAGTACGATGGTCGAGCCATTGGGGGCTTTGACGGGGTATACCGTAGAGGCATGTACGCGGTGCGGAAGCTCGTACCTGCAGGACATCACGTCAGCAGCCGTGTAGGCAGTGGGAAGAGGAAAGCGCACCTTAACTGGGTAAGTTTTCCCTTTGCCGCGACGATTGGCTCCATGTTTGCAGCTTGACGGTGGTGGTGGTGGGCGGCTTAGCTACCGCCTAGGTAACACGCAAGGCGCGACTGAGGCTGCGTCTGCTCTGAGCGCAAACACGTCGAGACGTTTCTAGGATGCTGCGATGACTATTCAGATCGTCTTGGGGGTTGCAGATGGTGCGCGACTTGATGTGTGAGGGTGAAGGAAGCTCCGAGGTGCTGCGGAGTCTGTCAACATTTCTCTGGGGAAGTCGCGCTCGACCACAGCGCGTCACGTCGGATTGCGCGCCCCGCGCAAACAAACCGCCCACATCCCCCCAACGCCCACACGATACCCAAACCTCCCTCATGTGGCGGAACGAGCGTCCGCATGGCCTCTCTTCGCTCAATCGGGGTCCACAAGCCCTCCGCCCTGCAGTACCTGGTCCAAGAGTCCATCCTGACCGAGGATAGCACTGACGGCGACTATGTCTGGGACACGTACTCGGACGACAACGACCCCCAGGGCCCTACCGACGAGCTCGTCACCACTGAATACCACGTGGTCTGGTCCCGAGGTGGTGTCATACGCAAGGTCTTCAACTTCGAGGTGGAGAAAGAGAAGGTCAAGCAGGCGCTGTTGACATGGTTCCTGGTAGACGAGCCCTCACATGGCACGAATGAGGCCTCCGACAGCTCGACAGAATACAACACAGCCGACCCTTCAAAGACTTTCCTGACCCAAGGTACACAGCCTGCTGCACATCCCACCGTGCCAGCCAACAATAAACCACCCACAACAGAGCTTCTGTCGCGTGCGCTCGTCGTCTTCTTGAAGTCGCAAGCACATGTCTTCTTTCTTTCGGGCACCACGCACATCGTGAACCTCCCATTCGAAGTAGACAAGGCTTTTCCTGCAGCACGCGGTGTTGTTGTGCAAAGGAAGCTTGCTCCCCTTCATCCTGTGCCCACGAGTCCACTGTTACCGTCAGCTCCACCAAACTCCTTCCTCACAACCAACCAGTCCTTTCTCTCACAGCAGTTCTCCTTCTCTCAAAGCTTCTCTAAACCCCACCGCCGGCATGGTTCTTCTATTGGCGCATCGCGGCACGGAAAGTCTCGTCTGTCTGGTGCGACCACGTTCCTAGATGACTTGATCACCCCCTTGAACCCAGAATCGATACCCAGGTTGTATTCCTTTACAGACCCGCTGTCCGAGTTGGGACTAGTGGTCAATGTCGTCGCGGGTGGTGATCGCAGCAGCCTGTTGACTAGCCACGGCTCCAGCCATCGGAAACTGGAAGCCATCGACAAAGCTGAGGAGATTATCTACGTCTCACCGCGTAATGAGCTCCTATTCGATCGCAGTGGAAATGATAAGCCCCTTCTGCTAGTAGTCACAGCGAATCACGAGACGAATGTATTTACCATCTGGTCTGCGGCTTACCTAGAGCCAAAATCAATATCAACTTCTCGCAAGCAACACGTTTCCCTTCCAATAAGCAAGTCTCGACGTCGTAGCTCGTACGGCGGCACTGCGCCAGGAACCGGAGCAACTACGCCAGCAATTCGAGGAGCTGACAGATTGAGAGAAAGTTTTGGTGGAGCCCCACGCAGCAAGACCCAACCTCCATCCTTCAAGATTACTACCAAGGAGCGACTATCTGACCAGGCAGTGGACGATGCTCTTGCTTCACAGCTCAACCCCGACTCTGACATTACTCGTCAGCCAAAAGAGTCTAGACGAGTGAGCTCACTGCTCTCACGAGCTGAGCTCTCCACGAGCTTCGACAAAAGCGCCTTCCAAGACCTCGCAACATCTCGTAATAGTATTGGTGGCAGCTTCAACGCAAGTTTCAATGCAAGCCAGCGAAGCCGCCACTCACTAGGCCACGATCGCACAAGTTTCGGTGGCTTCTCGCAATCTCGGAACCGCGCTTCTACTCCTGGTAGCGTCACATCACGAATGAGTTTGGGTGCTGTGTCAATAGACGATACTCTAGATGATGCCATGGACGAGGATACCTTCGACACGATAGAGGACTATGATGAGCTTGACGACCTGTTTGCGCCGCCCGATGCCAAAGACGGACCACGGCCTGGAGACGGACTCCTTAAAGAGCTGATAATCAGTGTCATTGCGGAGATTCCCATTACACAGCACCTGAAGAGTGGTC